GGTTGCAATGCCTTTGAAGATGACTGCTTCCTGAAACTTTCCTTGGTTGCCGCAGTGATGCACCTTTGAGTAGCCATTCCTGGTCGGCAGGACTCTTTCTCCTGCCTGGGGCCTTTTGTCAGAGGCTCTGCGTTGTCTTCAGACCACCAGGTTGAGGGTTTGCCAACAGTGCCCTTGCTCCTTGTCTTTATGGAGTGCGGGTGGAGCCAGTTCTTAGATCTATAGGAAGACAGGGTGGGCCACAGTGTTCAACCTGCTTTCTGTTCTCAAGGCTTTAAGGAGTGCAGCACTGTCCAGCTACAGGAGAATTATTGCATTGACTAATTTTCTGATAACCCAGGGACTGCAAACTCTTGGCCAGCAGGCAGAAAAGAGCCCACGGGCTTTGTTTTGTTGTCCTGCTAAGTGTCTAATAGTTACCATTTTAATGCCTTAAAGTAGGGCATGGGTCCTCCAGCTCACCATACCGCCTACCCTGCCCTCTTGTCTCATCTCTCACCCACTCTCTTCGTCTAGTTTCTGCTTGGTGCCTGACTGTGACCCCTGCCCCTACACATTCAGAAAGCATGACAAACATCAGACCTGGGTGCCACTGGGTCTCCATCTATGTCGGTCCCACTTTATCCCTTCAGTTCTCAGGATGCTTCCTGCAGGGGTGGAGATGTTCATCTATTCATCTGTCCACACGTTTATTCACTGGCCCCACCTAAGTTGTGCTTGGGGCTGTGGATACAGCGCTGAATTTAACACAGAGGGGACCTGCCTCCTCTCAGCGGTCAAGTAGAGTTACTCCTGTTTTGCAGGAAGTGATGGTAGCCATTTGATTAAAGTCGCTCCTTTATCTTATCTTGATTCTGACTTCTCTCCTAGTTACCTAGGATTTAATCACAACGATCAGTCTTTTTTTCCTGTAAGAACATTGAAATCAGATCAACTGAGCTGGTTGGTAGAAAGAAAAAAAAACACCTCATTATTTTGCTTTGTAACTAAAACTGCCTTAGATATAAGATTATTTGAAGTAGAAAAAAATTTTTTTCAACTGTATGGGTGCATAAAGACCATTTTAGCTGGGAATTATCAAGTGGTTAGTACAAAGAAATTAAGTTGATGCTTGGTTTACATTATTTGGCATCTTCGTTTAGAGTTTTTGTAGCTTGTCTGTCCGGTAAGCCACCAAAACTTTCTTGAAGCTTCCTTGCCATCAGGGTGCTGGTTAGAGAGCAGGTCTGCCTGGGAGGGGTGTGTCTTAAGGCATTGGAAGAATCCTGGCATGCAGACAAATTTTCTACCTCTTGTTCGCCGAATGGTGGACATACCTTTAGCAATTTCTGGGGACATCATGCTGACTTCTCTTGGACTATAAAGTGTGGATGTGACAGCTTACCGACCTGCAGGTGCTAGTAATTTGAATGCAAAGTAAAGATGCAGTCTCGCAGGCCTGTTTGGCTCACTGCTTGCCGATAGTGATAAGGTCAAACTACCTTTCCATTAGGGTCCCCTGCTCATCGCATCATTGAACACTTGCATGCTAGAATTTGCAAAGTGCTTTTCAGCAGTTTTCTCTTTTGCTAATGAAATGGCAGCATTAGCAGAGTTCAAGGCTATGAAAATGGATGCTGGAACCTCCAGCAGTTTATTAAGAGCGGTACCACGTGCTTGGTGTTTATAATTACAGTGATCCCCCTGCAGAGTGAGTGGAAAGTCAGACACGGAACTCAGGTGTCTGACTCTAGACTTTTTGTTCCCTCCACCACCCCTGGATTTTGCTTTCTGAGATGTATTTATCAATTGGCTGAAAGAGTTTTAAAGAAGCAAGTTGCGATTCTACCAGAGAAATTTAAAACTGTTAATCTCTTGCTGGGCTCTGAAAATGTTCCAAGAAGTTTTCATAGCCAAATTCTGACCAAGTCACTGGGGGAGAAATTCCTTTGGTTCCTGTGAGTCAGGCTACCCTGAGCTGGCCTTAATGAAGACAGAGACATAGCAAGATTTGCTCACCTCTGTCTTAGTAAGACCCGTAAATGGTCCTCCTTATAAAACCTGGGATTTGTGTGGACTGGAAGCCATTATGAAAGCTACCAGGGAATAATTGTTCACGAAACAGCTGATTCTGCAGAAAGTGTTTGTGGAGATAGGGCTGCAGTCTAGCTCTCAAAGGAAATAGCCTCAAATGCAACAAACGCTTGTTGTTGTAAGGTTTAGGACTGTGGTACTTCTATCCTTCCATTCTTTAGTCACAGATAACCCAAGAGACCTGTGGGCTTGTGTCCAAATCTATCCCTGCCAAGGAAGCTCATGCTCGAGTTCACAACTAATCCATTGGGATCCTGTAAGAGGGTTAGTTGGTTGCATCAGATGCCTAGCACTAGAAGATACTAGTATTTTACTTTATCTGCTTGTATAGGTTCTGAAATCACAGCTAGAGGAAGACTTTTTAATAAAATGCCATAAAGTGTAATAAAATAAAAATGTTTATTTGGGCATTTTCACCTTTTGCTCCTCTGTCCCCTCAGCTGTTCTTCCTTTTTTCGTGATTGTGTATCTGCAGGTGTGTGTACTCCTCAGTGACAGCTTGTGTCTGGCTGGCTCAGCTGCCTATAGAGTCATGGACTGAGCTGTTGCAGAAATCTTAGCTCTGGTTTCTTGTCTGGTCTGAGCTCTTGCCCCACCCGCAGCACCTGTCTCATATATAAATGTTTTTGGTCACAGGTAACAGGCTGGAGAATTTGAGAGAGAGAGATGAGTTGGAAGGGTCATGACCCCCAGGAAAACAAACCAGGTTCAGTTCAGTAGCTCAGTCGTGTCTGACTCTTTGCGACCTCATGGACTGCAGCACGCCAGGCTTCCCTATCCGTCACCAAATCCCGGAGTTTACTCAAACTCATGTCCACTGAGTCGGTGATGCCATCCAACCATCTCATCCTCTGTTGTCCCCTTCTCCTCCGACCTTCAATCCCTCCCAGCATCAGGGTCTTTTCCAATGAGTCAGTTCTTCGCATCAGGTGGCCAAAGTGTTGGAGTTTCAGCTTCAGCATCAGTCCTTCCAATGAACACCCAGGACTGATTTCCTTTAGGATGGATTGGTTGGATCTCCTTGCAGCCCAAAGGACTCTCAAGAGTCTTCAACACCACAGTTCAAAGCATCAATTCTTCGGCACTCAGCTTTCTTTATAGTACAACTCTCACGACAAGTCAGGAAGTGAAGTTTATTCATCAGAGGGAGGCCTCTTTGTTTCCACATTTGATTTCTCTCTCCTGCTGTCCTCATCCTAATGCTTAGACTTTGTCCTGCCTATAAGGATGGAGGAAGCATCCTCAGAAATAGAGCAATTGAATTCACCACCCTGCTTATCCCTAGGAACTTTCCCTGTGTTTTGACCCTCTGCTTGTCTTAAGTACCAGAGGGGAAACTTCTGTGGAGTTGCTATGTTCTCCTTCACATGTTTTGTGTCAATTTAGTAGATTAGATATCTGAATTTCTGATTTATGGATGAAAATGTTTCCCCTTCTCTCTCAAGATGTGTCACAGTTGCATGTTTCATACGTTTTTGGCTCTGAATGATAGCAACTGATTATCAAAATTCCGTTGCCATAATTCATACATGCTCTGTGTACATTTTCCTTATTCTAGTCACTCAACATTGGGAATAATCATTTGCATCTTAATCAGAGAATATAATAGTTGCTAACAAGAAGGGGAGGAAGTTGGTTGATGTCTTCTGACAACTATTAAAATCCCACAGAGAAAGATAGGATACTTAAAAAATGTAGATTGGCATATATTTGTGAACTGACTGCATTTATAAACATTAATTTAAAACAATCCATTTGAGTTCATCTATAGTCTGAAAGAACCTAATGAGGAATGTATTTCAGAAAGTATACTTTGCAGAAGAGAATTTGACATAAGTTGAAGTTTTAATTTTTCTTAAACTTGCATAACCTAGGAATTTCTTCTTCTTTTTTATAGCAGATGATTTTAATGGTGTCAATAATTTATAGTGTCTGTATGTTTAACTTCTTATATCGTGAAAGGCTATTGACAAATCTGCCTTTCTGACGCTCTTTGAAGTAGTTTTGAGGCTCTATGAGGGTAGTTTTTTCAGAAGTTTGGAAATTGGAAGCTATTAAGAGCTAACATGCTCTGGGAGCTAACATGCTTTGGGACTTCAGTTTTGAGCAGTGGCCACACAAGGTTCCCGCACTGCTCTGCCTGTGTGTAGGACAGGAGGGGATGTAGGGATGTAGACATGTCCAGAGATCTGCCATCAGACTGGCTGCCCAGCGAGAGGTCACTTCCGCTGCCTCTCAAGTGGCCCCCGGATCCCCAGTGAAGCCCTTTGATCCCATGTCCCAGACATCAGGTCCCCCCAGGAACCTTCTCAGGTGAATCCACGCTGCTGGCTCTTGGTAGATGTTGTGGTTAACTAACTTCACTGTAACCCAAGGGTGATCTCGCTTAGCTGAATAGACAACATTGAATTTCTCTGATTATCCTTCATGCCATTGTTCCCCACCGTAAGTAGGATAAACTGGTCATTTTGATGGCGATTTTGTTTCTCCCTATATATTTATTGTGTATGTGTTAAACACATGTGTTAATATGTATGTATTACATGGACTTACAGGGTAAAATGTGCCCAAGTAGAAACTCTAGCTTTGTAGCTCATTTCAATCTTATCTTTTTATTTATTTTACTTATTTTTATTTTTATTGATGTATAGTTGATTGTTTCAGGTGTATAGTAAAGTGATTTAGTTTGATATATAATATTCCTTTTCAGAATAGGAATATAATATTCCTTTTGTAGCTTTGCTGCTTTCCAGTCAAATCACTTAACCTCTATGGGAAATCTGTATAGTTAGGGATCTGGGCCAGAAATTTGAACTCTGAGCTCTTTTGCTAGACTAATATTTTGATATTATCTCCCTACTTGGTATGAGCCAAATACAGCACCACCCATGTCACTCTCTGAGCCTTCCTTTCTGCTTGTTTTTCAGAAATGTGAAAATAAAAACTGGAGACTGGTTCTTCGAGGAACGAGCCAAGAAATTTCCAGCTGAAGGTAAATGCTCTTAAAATGTTTGCTTAAGTGAAATGTATTCCCAGTTTAAAAATATTTGGTGGTAAGACTTTTGACTATGCAAAACTTAACAGGGTGTGGTATATGGGCTTCTATCTGGTTGGTCCTGCTGTCCCTTTGGTCTGAACGTTCCTGTCTGGCCCTCAGCTCATGTGGTCCACCACCTTTGCTTGTGGGGCTTCCCTCTGTACCCGCACTTGACCCAGCTCTAACCCTGCTAGCACCTGCCTGTTCTCCGTGAAGTTCCCCTGACCTCTGCCCTGGGAGTGATGCCTCCTTCCTCCAGAACACCGGCTTATGCATCTCTTCCATAACTGTTAAAAGTGCCCTGTATTATATCATCACTGATGCCCTTCATTCTCTCCATCAGCAGACACTCTGCTTTTAAAATCCTGTTAGCTCCTTACAGCCCCAAACCTTGTTCATGATAATTGATCAAAGTGATGGAACGAATCACTGAAGACCACGGTGAGAGAATTGTGTTAGAATTTAGCAGGCTCTGGTGACTGAAGTGAGCGCGTGTGATTATCTGAGTAGAGTGTGTGTCTGGCCTCTGCACCGCAGATGTCTGAAAAAGCACTAGCCCAGTTCGTAGAATGGTGTCATTAGTAACTGGGCGTGAGGGCTGTGGAGAGAACAGGTCACGCTTTGGTTGCAGAAGTGTCACGTGAGAGGATGTGGGCTGGGCAGATGAGAGGAGAACTTATCAGGCAGAGGCGCACTTACAGTGGTCAGAATAGAGCGGCGGCCGCTTGCTCTGTGCATCCCCCCCAGTCTGGGCGTGGAGGCTATGATCTCAGGTGGCCCCAGCCTGTGGAGGCTTGGATCTGGTTTTCAGTTCCTGGCCAGAGACTGAACTTAGGCTGCAGTGGCGAGAGCCCCGAATCCCCACTGCTAGAGCCCCAGGGACCAGGGGCCGGTGACAAGGCCCTGGCCCGTCAGCTGTGTAGAAATGTATTTCCATAGAGAGAGAGAAAGCAGCGAAACAAGTAAAGTGTCTGTTAGGAGGAAAAAGGCTACGTGTGGATACACACACAAGTGGACTCCAAGCTGTGCCCTTTTGGTGGTTTGAATCACTTGAAAGATTGAAGGCAGGAGGAGAAGGGGGCGACAGAGGATGAGCTGGTTGGATGGCATCACTGACTCCATGCATGTGCGTTTGAGCAAGCTCTGGGAAGTAGTGAGAGACAGGGAAGCCCGCCGTGCTGCAGTCCCTGGGGTCACAGAGTCAGACACGACTGAACAACAGCAACGTGTGGAGCATCTCTCCCGGGTTTCCTCTGGCCAGTCGTCCTGCTTGCCTGGTTCTGAGTCGTTTTTGGTTTATCTCAGGGTCCTCCGTGTGTGCACACATCTCTCAGCCAAGATGGATTCTAGCGAGGAGGCCTCTTGGTGGTTGACCTGACTCACCATGAGGTGACACCCCCTCCCTTTTTGACCTCCAAGGAGCCTCTCTGCACATGTGTAGTCAGGAAGGCCGTCTGGACTCCGAGAATGAGGAGCATGTGGTCTCTTATCTCCTGTCTGGGCAGCAGGACTCAGTTCTCGCTCCTCGTCTTGGGAGCGTCTGTCCACACGAGACAAACTCTGGCAGTTCGGCCGGGGGCCCACCTGTCTCCTGTTTCAGTGACGGGGTGTCGTCCTCCTCTGTGATGTGTGACCGTGGGCAGTGCACAGAGGGAGCCTGGGCTGACCTGGAGGGGTGGGGTGGCTGCAAACGCTGTGTGTGGCGGGGGCAGACATGGTCACAGTCTGAGGTGTTCAGCATTAGCTGAAGTGCATGCATGTTGACACATAAATGGAGTCGTTCGTCTAGAGTGTTGATGCTCCGCTTTTATTTTAATGAAAGCACTTTGAACTGAGGTTTAGTTGGCAGTAAATTCTCCTCTGGATTGCATTCCTGACTCTGCTTATTGAAGAAAAAGTGACATTTCTGCTGAATTTGTTAGAAATCTGGAGGAATATGTAACACTGATGGGATTGTTCAAGCCAAAAAAACAAATGTAGCAAGTGTGTATGATTTTTACCTAGATCTGTGTTTCTCTGTCCTTTTTCATTGGTGTCCTCTTTCCAGCCCACAAACAGCGTTGTCAACACTTTGTTTCCTAAATATTACCTGTTCATGAAAGTTTAATAGCCCAGATATACTGCATAGCTGTTTGTGTATGGAAACCTTTTGGAGCAGACCACAAACTCTTGTGACAGCTAAGATTGTTTTCATCCTCCAAGCAGTGTTTGCTCCTTGAGGGCCATCAGCCTGTGTCTACACAGTACACCGTCTAAGCAAGCCATGGCCACCTGGAGTCTTCTTGTTTATTGTTTTATTTCTTGAAAATATTTTTTGGTTGGAGGGTCTAGGGTTGTCTTCAGGTGGTATATAGGTTCTCATTTTTTCACTCCTAGTCCTAGTTCATAAATAATAAGTCTGTAGGGGGTGAAGTTTCTGTTATTTCTCAAGACCAATTCAGTGAAGATATCCTGGAATTTTTTTAGTATATTATTGGCAGTTTCGGTATCATTATTTCAGGTAGGAAAGTTGATTTGCAGACCATGTATGTGCATTCGCATGTTGCTGCCTCATCTTTTCAGCATTCTTCCTCTTCTAAGTGAGGAGGAGAAGTAGGTCAATCCACCAGGATAACTTAAGAGCTAAAAAAGGGAAGAGGGAAGAAGTGCGACCAATTTCCTGGGTTTCTCTTCCTTGTCCAGCGACTTTTCCACCAGAGTGAAAACATCACTCTGAAAACATCACTAAGAAAAAAAAAAAAAGTAGAGTAATGGAAGTCAGCCTAGGCATGAATCATTTTTTTCCAATTTGTATTGTTTTCCCCAAAGTAGGATGCAAAAGAAAATGCGAATCCTTCCTTCTCTGCAGTGCGTCCTCAAATGCTGAGATGCCTCGTTTTCCTGTGGCCCAATTTTAGTCAGGTTGGGCTCAGAAGGCATGGAGAGAGGAAGAAAAGTGCCACGTGGGGGGCGGGTGGTCGCAAGGAAGACGGTGGTCCTGACCACAGGTGGGAGGGAGGAGATGGGTCAGCAAGGGGGGCTGCTGCAGGGTTATCCGGACAGGCAGGCACTCCACCTCATCTATCCGTGCCCCCGAAAGAGACTGAGCTGAGTTGGGGCGCTCCATCAGATGAGGGCCAGGTAGGAAAACAGGCCTCACGCTGATTTGACTACGGAGTTTAGGGACTCAGTTAGAGAGGTGTTATTGGAGGGCCTGGAAAAGCAAAAAGAGACCAGTGAGGGAGCATAGAGATGGGCCTGCAGGGAGCAGACACGGCCAGGCCGCCTGCTGCGTGGATCTGATGGAGACAAGGGTGAGACCCCTCTTCCTCGCTGCCTCTCCGGGTGCTGTGCTAAGTCGCTCAGTCATGCCCGACTCTCTGCGACCCCATGGACGGGAGCCCACCGGGCTTCTCTGTCCATGGGATCCTCCAGGCAAGAATACTGGAGTGGGTTGCCATGCCCTCCTCCAGGGGATCTTCCCAACCCAGGGATCAGACCCAGGTCTCCTGCATGGCAGGCGGATTTTTACCGTCTGCGCCACCAGGGAACCCAAGAAGACTGGAGTGGGTAGCCGATCCCTTCTCCAGGGGACCTTCCCGACCCAGGGATCTTTAGCTGATGGATTCTTTACGCCCTGAGCTACCAGGGAAGCCCTCCCTCGCCCTGCTGGGCCCTACTAGCGAATCTGAGCTCCTGATGTGTTTGAGAAAAAAATGATTCTGCATATTACCTGGTGTGTTTGTTGTCACAGTGGGAACTCAGCTCACTCCAACCTTCAAAATCCTAAGTGGAAGCTAGGAAAACAAGAGGGTGGCTTAAACCCCGAAAGGGGATGCGACAGCTCAAACCAGTGCCTCTTTCTAGGCATTAATTATCTATTACTGGATAAAAAAATTGCTCCCAAACTGAGTGGGTTAAAACAGTATTATCACATCGTATGATTTCTGTCTCCAGCTGAAGGCTCCCCTGGGGCTGGAGGATCGGCTTTCTGGGGGCTCACCTGCTTACCTGGCCAGTTAGTACTGCTGGTGGGGGGGCGTGGGGCTCCTCCTCTGCGGGACCCCTCCAGTAGGCTCCTCAGGGTCCCTATGACACGGCAGCTGGCTCCCCCCGGGACAGGTGACCCGAGAGAGGCCAGAGCAGAGCCCTGCAGTGCCTTTTCATATTAAGAAAATGTTGTGATGAAATATTAAATTTACCGTTCTAGCCACATTCAGCTCTACAGTTCAGTGGTATTAAGTACATGCACTTGTTTTGCTGCCGTCACTACCATCCTTCTCCAGACTTCATCATCCCACGGGCTCCCGTCTCAAAGCCCCTCATAACATCTACTCTATTTCCTATTTTCTGGCTCCGTCAATATCTTTTATGGCCGAGGGTCAGAAGTCACACGCTGTCAGTTCTGCGGTGTCCCACAGGTCAGCTCTTCTCAGGGCGGAAGGGACTATGTAAGGGTGTGACTCTCAGGAGGCAAGACTCTCGGGGCCCTTCAGAAGGCTGGCTACCACACTTCTGACATTCCTTCCACCCCAGCCTCTGGAATCTTCCTGCTGCCTTTCATTCTCACTTCCAAGGCCACAGCTCCTAGCTCATCCCCGTGACTCCACCTGCTTCCCCCATCCTCCACTCTGTGAAGAGGGAGAGATCTTTTCTCTTTTAAAAATGTTATTTTCTGGTTATAGAAATAACACCTGTTCATTGCAGAATATCTTGGAAATGCAGAATGGTATACCGAAGGCAAGAATAATTCCACTCCTGGTCAACACTACTGTTATTCACAGACACGCGTGCACACACACTCTCCTGGCCCCCTTTCTAGGTGACCCTGTACGTGTGGGTGCTCATACAGACTAAGAAATTCTTAAAATGTGTTAATGATCAGACTATATATAGGCTTTTGTCTTTTAAAATTCAGCTGAGCATAGACATGTCCTAATGCTCTTATAAGACTTCTTCCAACATACACTGATGAC